CAAACTGAGGGTTGCTGGAGTGGTGGGGGGTGGGAGGGATAGGTTGGCTGAGTGATAGACAATGGGGAGGGTATGTGCTATGGTGAGCACTGTGAATTGTGTAAGACTGTTGAATCACAGACCTGTACCTCTGAAACAAATAATACATTATATGTTAAAAAAATACTCTAAAGTTTTATTGTCTGAGTTATTCATTTTATCTATAACTTTTCTAGATAAGAATAATTTCGTGTGACTCCAGAAATCAAACATCACTATAAATAAAGAAAAATTCATGTCCACTGTTTTTTTTTACCTATTTTTACCTATTTTACCTACCTATTTTACCCTTTCATTTATTTCTCACTTTTTTTTTTCACTTTTGCTGAATCTAAGGAAGGAAAAAGTCCATTTCTCTGTATCAATTGTTAACTTAGCATTAGGACTTTCTATTACCCTCTTAAATTCTGTATTCGTCTTCATCTCCCCAGGACTTAAATTGAAAATGACATTTTTCCACCTACCCACTTCTCACACATAATATTATACAATACCTTAAGCACTATGGAAACCTGTTATTTATGTATAAGCCAGAAGATAATATATGCCAAGATTTTTATCCTGGAGAGAGGATCTTAGGAGTTAAGATGAGAATGTAGCTTTAAAGCATCTGATTTTTCCCTTTATTTTTCCTGCATCTTCCACTTCCTTTTTGCATCTCCATCTTCCTTACTGTTTTGCCTCCCTCTGAACATACCCCCACCTGCACACAGACTCATCAGCTGTGCTTTTCTCTCTTTAGTTCCCTTAAATTCTTTCACGTATTTTTAAAAATACTTTTGCAAATGGACCAGAACTGGCATGATTCCCTCCTTGTATTTACTAATCTGATTAGGAATAGAGAATAATATTCTCTTGAGGAGAAAATCATCAGTAGTCTCCTCAGTATTGGATGGAGGCCACAGAGGACATTTTTCAGCTAACAATTACATTGCACTGGTATGTTTTCCACAGAGGATCCCTGGTCGTGTTCCTGAGAAAAGTGAAGGATGTACCTGCCAAGCCAATTCTGAGGATACATTTTTCGCCTTTTTCTTTCAATTAGTTCAATTATTCCAAAGTGACATTATTCTGTACTATCTGCTTACCATAAAGTCCTAAATTATTTCAATCCAGTCATCTGAATTAGATAAAGCAGAAATTTTAAAGATCATAGGCATTTTTTGATGTATTGTTGTTTGAAAAGCTGCAGTGTAATAGAGGAAACTTTGCTTCTTATTGCTGGAAATTTCACAGGAAAAACTGATTTAAAAAAAAGAATAATTGAGTGTGTCATTAAGGAACAGGAAATTAGTATATAAGCTGAAATACTCTTAAACAAGAATGTGTGATGATACTTGCCTTCACTCTGCTAGGAGTGTGACAGGAAGAGAAACAATGCTCTCTCTTTGTTACCCTGGGGTAACTGTAGTTCCTCATCTGTAAAATTGAGTTGGGTGGCTGGGTGGGAGCCTTTTATCATGTCTAAAATCTTTCCATTCCCAGCATTCTATTATTGTACAGGATTGGTCATGCTATATTTCTAAATTGAAAATATCCTTCTGTCTGAAAGTAAAATGCCACTTGACATTTCAGCAAGCTATAATTCAAGGAAATGGAAGAACAAATACCAAAGTGTAATTTAGTGTAACAGGATGCTTAAAGGGGGATTTTTTTTCCCTCTATCTCCCTGTCAGCAGAGGTCCAAAAAGTCTGAAAGCAAAATAATTCATTAATTAAGAGGCAAAATGTATTCTGAAAATTCTGAGTAAGGTGCTAGATTCCATGTGAAGGACAAGGAGATAGCTCTACAACCAAACTGCTGACACCAAGGTCGACCAGCACTCTAGGATATAAACAGACCAAAGATGGGGTAGAGAGGAGAGAGTTGCAGGTATGCACTGAGTCCCACTGCCCTGGGAGAGGAAGGAAGCTTCCCCTTCAGTTCTAGCTTCCGCTCACATGAACAATCAGAGTTTAGTTTATGGCCCCATTAGAGGGACAGAATGGGGTAACCATTAGAGGGACAGGATGGATCCATGAGTCATCAATAACTACAAAAGTCGACAGGCAAAAAGCTAGAGCTTTTGACTGGAGCTACCATGTGGTAGGGAAAGAAGGGGCAACTAGGCAACAGTTGGTGTGGTAAGAATGTGTGAGCTTCCTATGGGCCAAGCCGAAGTGGACTCAAGAGGGGAGGCCTGCCATTGTGAGGGACTGTAACAGAAAAACACTGGATGTGTATCACCAAAGGTAATCCCAGTTAGCAGGGTTGAGCCACAAGAGATTGGCCAAAGTGTGCCTTAATTTGGAAACGGGCAACTCAGAGGTCCCTGAGTGTAGTCATCAAAGGACCTTCCACCAAACCTCCTTAATGTAAACCATGCACTTTAGCTAATAATAAAGTATCAATATTGGTGCATAAACTGTAACAGATACACCATACTAATGTGAGACACTGTGTGGGATGGGAATAGGGTATGTACTTTCTGTGTTCTTCCTGTGCAATTTTTCTATAAACCCCCAAAAGTAACATTATGCACATGGTAAAATTTTTTCATTTGTATAGAAGAAAATACAATGAATAAAATCATCCTCTTAAAAAAATATTTGTTGAATATGAAAGATGAAATTATGAGAGGGGTGCCTGTGTAGCTCAATCAGGTAAATGTAGGACTCTTGATTTCAGCCTGGTTCATGTTCTCAGGGTCCTGGGACTGAGCCAGGTGGGGCTCTGTGCTCAGTGCAGAGTCGGCTTGTCCCTCCCCTATACCCCACCCCCCACTTGCACTCTCTCTCTCTGTCTCTCAAATAAATAAATAAATAAGATCTTTTTAAAAATTATGAGAGCATGTATTAACGAAAAGAAATAACTAAAACTGCCTGTTATTAGAGAGTAAGAGCAATAGAAGAATGGGATCTGGCAGAGTGGGGTAAAGAGAAGAAAGGGCTTCATTTACAATGAAGAAAAGGTGAGAAGAGTTCAAAGGAGAGTCATGTCTAATATTCAAACTTAAGCTCTTTGAACTTTTGTCATATAAACCCCTGTGCACCTTACCAAAACCAGGAGTAAATCTGACATACATTTTGAGATAGATACATACATACATACATATACACATAGAGTATATTGTTTTTGAGGAAAGGGGATAACTTGCACAATTAGGTTGATGATGGAGCAGAAACAGAAGACTAGAAGATCCTGAATAGAAATCAAGAATTCAATGGAGGCAAGAAATTAAACTAGGTACAATAACCCTGAGAATATAAATTCTCCCTCCACCACACACACCCTTGAAATAGTCCCTGCATGTTCCATGGAGCACATGAGGAAGTTTGGGCCAATCTTGTTAGGTCTTATCTTGACTCCAGTTGGCATCCAGGTAACACTTAAAATTACTTACTTGAATGTGGTATCATCTTTGTTTTTCTTATCAAGTAGAGAATGTTCTGGTAGGTCTAACCATGATTCCTTCTTAGAAAGTAAAGGAATTTCCCTTATGCTTTCTTCTTGAATCTCACTTTTCATTAAGTTAGTATCTCTTTTAGGAAGGGAAGAACAGTTTTCATTTTGCCAATGCTTTGCCTGAAAAGAGAGACTTATTTTATTTTTATGACATTTATTTTCTTTGAACATTTATGTGCTACACTAATAACTGAAGTCCTGGGTACACACACAGAAATAAATGAAACGTGGTTCTTCAAAGACCTTACAGTTTTCTGAGGGAGACGAGACATATATATGTAACTTTAATAAAGGTAGAAAGTAGTAAATGTCATAAGAAACATAGATTCTCTGAAAAGATAATAAACTACAAAAAAATTAATATTCCCACTTTAAAATCTGGAATAGTAAGATATGTATTTACTAAAAACAAAGCTTTTGCTGAAAAATTAGCAGTTAATTTTTCACACAACTCCTTTCTTTGCATATAACTTCCTAGGAAAGTCTCAAAAAACAATCAAATCATTGAGCATTTTTCACTGAAAATATGTGTGTTACATAATAGTTTTCACAAAACTTGGCTACAATTCTTAATATCTAGTAGAAATTCTCATTGACATTTTATTTTATATTTGAAATACAGAGCCAATGTCTTTGTCTTATGTCAATTCCCATCATATACACAGGAATGGAGGAGGGAATACAGCCTGTATGATATGAGGGAGTTAGGCATCCCTAGGATACCTGACTGACCTACGAACTGCTAATCTTGTCAGAAGGGACTACAGAGCAAAATGCCTACAGGAGCTGGGAAGATTGAGTCAGTGAATGAATCAAGCCTCCTATAAGGTAATAAATAGCAAATGAAGTTCAGCCCCAGCGTTCACTGGCAATAGGGAAAGGTGGGGACTGTAGTGAATTAGAAAGAACCCATTTTACAGTTACTCTCAGGGACTGACGTGTTCTTTTTCAAGAGAAGCAGGTAATCTGGATCTTATGTGAAATCATTAATGTTTAAATATGGGCAACTAAGTCAAATTTTAAACACTGGGTGAATAAGCACAACCCACAACACGGGCCCCCACAGGACCAGGAGGAGAAGTGCCAGTGTCCACTCTGCCCAATGCGACAGTGGTTAGTGTGTGAAGAGGAGCACTGAACATGTGCATGCATCACTAATTTCTTTCCATAACACAATCATCTGATAGTTTCCTGGGACAAGGCTATCTCCGTGGATAAATCATCTCCACCCCCATTTTTCCAACTCCAGAAATAGACATACCACACTCTAACTTTTAAAAAATCTAACTTGGAAACCAACCTCAGATCCATAGCTATGTTATAAAAATTATTTATACTTATTTAAAAAATAACTTCCTTCTGAAATATATTGAATCACATGGCACTACAGTATTTTAAATACTTTCATCAGACTGCATGTGATTAGAAAATTAAGTCTTAATGTAGGAAATTAAAATATATTATTGCTTTTCCTCCTGTTTTTATAACTGCCAGATGAGAATTAATTCAACTAAAGAACAAATACAACATTCAAATGTAAGGCAAAAGTCACGACATTGTACATATCAAGTTTGTTCAGCAAAAACTGTTCTGATCCAAATTATGTTTACTAATTGGGTCTCTTCTCCTTCTTATCTATGTATTGCCATCTGCCTTCCATATCCTTCTGTTCTTTCTCTAAATGAGTGTCTCTTCTTATACACCATGAGAAGGACATTCACTGCTGCTATTTTCCAGTATCTACTAATTTATTCTCTTCCCTTCTCCCTCCTTTTTCTTCCCCTCAACCCAGCCCCACCCCCTGGGACCACCAGCACCTATATTCAAGACAGCTTGATCAAAGTGAGTCCTTGAGGGGGAAAAAAAAAAAAAAAAAAAAAAAAACCTCAAGCAGAAAAAATTAGAAAACCCAGCTGTCCCCAGTTGCCCAGCCTTTACTTTCTAAGACTTCCCCAGCTCTGGGGGCCCTTTTTCCTGTCTGGAACATAAGGGGAAAAACCAAACTATTTTCACACAGGCTTTTTGAGGCTAAAATCTTTCAAAATACAAAGACTTTACAAAATAGCTAGGGACAAATATCAAAGGCATAAAAATGAACAGTTTTACTAGCACATGCTTCTTAATTAAAATTTAGCTGCAGCTACTGTGTGGTGGGCACAATATGGCACCCACACCTAGAATGGTGCTATTTCTTGCTTTAGCCGCCTCTAAGGAACTCAGCGTCCAGATGTCACCCACTTGATGATGCTCTGTTTCTTTACCTGTCATTCTAACCTCCACTTCAACTCCCCAAAGCCCATGAGGCATGACCATACAGCAATTCAGCATTACATTAACTCCTTCACTTACAGAAGCATCTTTCCAGCTCAGCTTGTGCTCAGAACACCAGCTGTGGCCCTCCGCCTCATTCTCCACACACTTAGCCACACACACACACACCCATGCGACTTACCACTCAGAGGCTCTTGTTCCCAACTGAGAAAAGTCGAACACTTGCCTTATTTACAGAGCAGAAGACTGTACAGCCCTTGAGTGCTACCTTGAGACTACCATACTACCGGGCCAAACACGGGCCCACCACCCCAGATTATTTTCTGATTTACCATCGCCCTTTGTGTCCATAGGGTTGTATAAAAGTCTTTCAGGACAGGCAGACATCAACAAAACAATTCAAAAATAGAGCAACAACAGACTTTGTCTTCCAACACAAAGACGGTTGCTGTGTTATCATGGCATGAGTGGCAACAGAGTCTGCCGAATAGAACCAAGTCAACCAGCCAGACCGAAATTGAGGTTTCAGCCCGACCTCTTGCCACCAGCCTGACCTCATGCCACCATGCTTCCACAGTAGTGGCTGAAACTGATCAAACTGGTATTTTGTCCCTCAAATCACAAAGGGAGCAAGAACAGAGGTCCCATCATGCCCCCTACTTCCATTTCTCTTAATAGACAGGTATAAATGGGAACTTAATTTCGTGAAAGGAAGGGTTAAAAGCATGAGTTCTGAAATGAGCCAGCTTGAGTTAAAAGCCAAACTCTACTACTTATTAGCCTCTGGGAGCTCAGGAGATTGATTCAACTTTCTGTGCCTCTGTTTTCCCATTTGTAAAATGGGAATAATGAAGAGCTCCTTCCTCATGGGATGAGGAATTGTGATTATATGAGATAATTCATGTGGAGACTGTAGAACAGGGCCCTAGCCATACAGGAAAAACTCAGCAAATGTTAGCTATTGTTATTTGGGCAGGAGTAAATCAGACAATGAACAGGGAGGTTTTGTTTTTTTGTTTTCTTTTCTAATTTTTTTATATTTGATTACTTGAAAGTTATTGTCCTCTACTTGTTTAAGAATAACATGGTAATTTTATCCACACTGTGTTTTTACTAGACATTGAAATTGAAGGAGTTTTAAAGGAGAAAATTTTCTCAGAAATCCTGAAACATTTTGAGATGCACAGAGCCGCCATCTTTCCATGTCTCTAGAGTCTTCCACTTGATGGAACTGTCATGGTTAATGGTAAACAGGACAAGAGATGCCTGGAGCTACAGCTCCAGAAATGGAAGTCAGTTCTTTCATGACTGATGAACATTAACAGCCGACGAGATTCAAACAGAAATCAGCCCAAGTTCATACTACATGTCAAATACTAGAATAATGAAGAAGCAATATTTCTACCTGACCAAAGATCCAGACAGGAGCACCACAGACATCAGTCACACAAATGCTGCAGTCTGCCGACGAGGAGATAATCAGTAAGCGGCCACCTGGCTTACACATCTCTAAGGAACTTATCTGGTCTTCATGAGGTCGGAATGATCGTATGAGAGCTGGGGCCTGTGTGATTTTGCTCTTACTGGAATTAAGACAGTACTCCTGAATGAAAAGAAATGCTAGAATTCTAAAAAGTCCAAATATTAAATTAAATTATGGTGACATAACACTTTTTCTTAAAATGTCTGATACGGAAATGAAAAAAGGTACATTTGGGAACAATACTCCATTCTCCAAATGCAAAAGAATAGTTCATGATAACAGAGTTTAGAAAAATCATATTAATGTCAAAAAAAGGTTTCTAACTGATTTGCCTAACCCAAGAAGTGGAACGAAAGGAAGAGGGGAGGGGAAGAATAAAAAACAGAAAGAGTGAACAGTAAAGTCAGTATTTGAAAGAGATGAACTTTATCACGTGTAGATAGTTGCATATTATACAATTTTATAATATTATTAGATAAACGAGGAGGTAATCACTGTCACAAAAATCCCAAACTAATTCAGGATGATAGTAATGTTGGAGGAAGGGCCAGTACTCTGGTTAAAATTGGGTTTACAGTCTCATTTCAGATAAGGTATATCCTAATTATTTATGCTCAAACAATGCTGCAGAACCTTACTGACAATACTGTATTCCTAAATTGGGTGACTGACTTGACTACATACACATATATACACATATACATATATGTATATACATACATACGTATGTATACATATGTATGTATGTATGTATGTATATATATATAATTTATTGATTTGAGAGGGAGAGCGAGCACGAGTGCACATAGAGAGAAGGTCAGAGGGAGAGAGAAAATCTCAAGCAGACTCCCCACTGAGTGCAGAGCCTGATGATGTGGGGCTGGATCTCACAACCCATGAGATCATGACATGAGCTGAACCAAGAGTTGGCTGCTCGACTGACTAAGCCACCCAGGTGCCCTTGACTTGAGAAGATTTTCATACTGAGAACAATCTGGTTTTCCCCATAAATTATTTAAGAGATGTCTCTGTCCAATACATGTAAATATTTCCTTTACAATACTCAGACTGATCATGTCTTCCCTTATCCAGGAGATAGATAAGTGCAGATTCAGAGTTATCTGTAACACAAGGCAATCAAAATTAGTAAAGATATGAGAATACTTTCAATTTACTTTTATATCCCAGATTTTCAGTTGTCCATCCAGATCTCCTGTGGTGAGGTATTGGTTTGACTTATCAGTAGACATAATAATGGATCCAACTCCACCATGAGCCAAAAACTCAGCCAGAAGTTGCTTCTTAAATGTATCCCAAAATCTGACATACCCAGATCCTCCACATGACACCAGGTTAGCTCCTCCTAATGTGTAAGACAACACTTAATTAGGAAAACGTGACAACAAGGATCCGAAAAAAACGTCTTCGGTGGCTTGCCATGTGGAAGGCATATGAATATCGGAGAGGCAGGTAGCCCTGATATCAATTTCCAGCACTTTGACTCTCTCCAACATAAAATGGAGATAATGTTATGATAACCTTACCGGTTTGTATTGAATATTAAATGAGATTGGAAATGCAAGATGCTCCATTACATTGAATTCCCTTTCCTTCATTATTTCAATATAATTGGGTTTTTAAAGTTAGATAGAATTAATTTGTTCCTCCAAATAAACTTATGAAGTATTAATTTCAATATTATGATATTCTAATTACATAAACCCATCTTTCTTAATAACCCATTGGACACATATACCAAAGAAGTAAAATTCCTCCTGCATGCAACTGGGTGCATATAGGCAGTTATAGCAGCATAGCTATTAATTTCTCTATGTAGCAGGTAGCATCATGCTTAGGATTCTATTTATGAGCTTGTTTTTAGTTTTTCATCAAGAATTCATTGGGAGCCCTTATGGAACACTTTTTTGGTTCATAGGCCTAGAACACTCCTTTTCATTTTCTATTTTTATATGCTTTGTAGAAGCATTCTACCTAAATTATTCTTCTGTGGCCAAGTTCCTATTATTACTTGATAAATCTGTAGATGACTTTCAATTTGCTTCACAAATGTACTGCTGATTAACAATCATATCTGTTTAAGGTGGAAATAATGGCTTGTAGTCGCTTCGGTGGAAACAATTTGGGAATACTGATAACATTAAGAAGAATTAGTGTTGAGGAAATAGGAGAAATTTCAGGATAATAGTTCATTCTGTGAATAGAAGGGAGTTCTGGAAAATAGAAAATTTTAGAATCTAACCGTTTCAAAGTCTATTCTAAATGCTCCACAAGGTTTCTAAAACTCTATAAGGGTATACCTTTATTGATTTTTAATGTGGAAAATTTTTATATAAAAATCATGCAGATCTTCTATCTGCAAACTGAATGTGGGAAAGCAAATATGAAAAACGTGGTTCGGATATGTTTATTTTTTTTTCACACATATAACACCTATATGTCTACATTGCTCATACTAAGAAAAAATACTTTTAAAACACAAGATTTTAGATGAAAGGTAAAACAATATGCATTATTCTCAAAAGCAGGTTTTTATTTGGGGAAGATGCAGGAAATGTCAACACCATGCTAACATAGCCATTGAAAACAAGGCAGAAATTAAGCTAATGGTTATTTCATCTACATATCAAATGGCTACAGAAGTGTTCTGGTGCCACCAGTCTTTGCATACATCTCAGCAGAAGCTGTCACCAGGACTCTGACATATTCTGGAAAAGATGCATAACTGGTAATGATACTCAAACCATGAAAGAAGAAAGAAAGAAAGAAAGAAAGAAAGAAAGAAAGAAAGAAAGAAAGAAAGAAAGAAAGAAAGAAAGAAAGAAAGAA